CCCCAAAACCCCAAAAACCCAAAACCCCAAAACCCCAAAACCCCAAAACCCCTAGTTCAAATAAAGTATTAGATTTGACAGTTTAAGGATGATCATGAATTTTAGTAGCCAATTTTTCCCAGTTTGTAAAGTAGATAATAGCAGAGAAACTTGAGCATATCAGCAAGCTCCCTGCTGGCAATCCAAGCCAGATTCCGATGATTCTGTAGTCTAAGATGAAGGCAAAGATGTATGAAACTGGAATTGCTACTAGCCAATATGAAATAATCACTATTACTGTCGCGATGCTTTGGTATCCCATTCCTCTGATGATACCTCCTTGCACTCCTTGGATATAATCACAGATAATCAGAAGGCAATAGACAGGAATCAGTTGGAGCATAATTTCTACAACTTTGGATTCAGTAGTAAATATTGTAGAAAATTGGACTTTGAAAGTCAGAAATGTTATAATAGTCATAATTCAAATCACAAGAGCAATTATCATTGATGTTTTTACATATCTCAGTGCTCTCTGTGGTAAATTTGATCCAAGTGAGTTTCCTACCATGGAGCAAATCGCATAACTCATTCCAAGAGGGAGGTTGTACACTATGTAGTTGAGGTTAAGCAAAGCTACATTGGCAGCTAGTTCAGTCTCGCTTAGCCAACCTGCAAAGATGCTTAGGAACTCAATGCACCACCACTCAAGACATACAATGACCAGACTCGGGACTCCATATTTTCAGTAATTGATGAGACCTTTAAAGCTGTTCTTATCGAACCAGTGCCAGGATTCTGATGGAACAACTTCAAAGCAACTCACATAGACATGAATCAGGACAAAATCTAAAGATATAGTCAGGATACTTACCAAGAGTGTAGGTAATCAAAGAAGCTACTGCAGCTCCTACTATTTCTAGCTCCAAGATGCTTACGAAAATATAGCACCACAAGATATGCAGCACAAGTGTGCTGAATTGGATCTTAGAAGGCAAGGCAAAAACTAATTGGGCGTTCAGGAATCTTCTAGTTGCCTCAAATAGGTTGAAAACTAGCACCCCAGGAATCAATACCTTGGTATAGTCAAGGGCTGCTTCAGAGACTTTGGGGTCTTGCCCAACTGCCTCAAGGATCTTATCAGTGTAGAAGAAAATTACAGCTTGAGGAATGAAAACAAGAAGCATGAGAACTCTTCATCTGTTGAGGTTTACTCCTCATCTGTAATAATTTTTCTGCCCATGGCACTGTGATACAAGAGTATCAATACCTCCACAAAGTCCTGTAGAAATGGAGATTCCTATTACATTGATCATTAGAGTTCCTAGACCAAGTCCTGCCATAAGGGTTGGATCATTGAGGTTTCCGATAAAAATTAAATTGATGACCTCAATTAAAGTCTCAAAGAGCAAGCCTGCTATGACAGGTAATGAGTTTAAAGCTCATTCCATTGCACATTCAGAATATGAAGGTAAGTCTTCCTCTGTTTTCTGGGCTTTCCTGTCTACTTCCTCATCATCTGGATTATTTAAAACTCTTAGTTCCTTTTCTGTGTCACCTAGTAAATCTTTTTCCTGTGATCTCTGATTCTTTAAGAGTCCTTCTTTAAGGCCATCATTGCCAGTTTTCATTTCAATTTTAATGTAAACTGAAGGGGTTTTGGGGTTTTGGGGTTTTGGGGTTTTGGGG